TAGTAGAGACGGGGTTTCACTGTGTTCGCCAGGATGGTCTCGATTTCCTGACCTCATGATCCGCCCGCCTTGGCCTCCCAAAGTGCTGGGATTACAGGTGTGAGCGACTGCGCCTGGCAGAAGTTTTTAATTTTAATGAACCCCAGTTTATCAGTACCTTCTTTCATGGATTATGTCTTTGGTTTCTATTTCTGGAAGGTAATTGCCAAGCTCAAGATCATCTCCTGTGTTACCATCTGGGAGTTTTATAGTTTTGTACTTTACATTTAGGTCTGAGACTTATTTTGAGTTAATTTGTGAAGGGGATAAGGTCTGTGTCTAGATTCCTTTTTTTTTTTTTTTTTTTTTGGCATGTGGATATCCAATTGTCCCAGCATCTTTTGTTGAAATACTGTCTTTTCTTCATTGTATTGTCCTTGCTCCTTTGTCAAAGATTCGTTGACTTTATTTAGGTAGCTTTTTTCTAGGCCCTCTATTCTGTTCCATTGATGTATTTGTGTATTCTTTCGCCAGTGCCACACTGTCTTGGTTATTGTAGCTTCGTAGTAATATTGAAGTAGGGTAGTGTCAGTCCTCCGACTTTGTTCTTCTTCAATACTGTGTTGTCCATTCTAGGTCTGTGGCCTCTTCATATAAACTTTAGTATCAGTTGATGTCTTCGAAACAGCTCGCTGGGCTTCTTGTCTCTTTTATGTGCTCACCTGCTACGGTCAGGCCCAGTCAGGATAATCTCCCTTTTGACTAACTCAGAGTCAACTCACTAGAGACCTTAAGTGCATCTGCACAATCCCCTAGCCATATAACATGACATGACCATGTCTTGCCCACCCTTACGGGAATGCAAACCCAGGAGAAGGGGTCTTGGGGGCCATCTTATACTTCTGCTTGCCACAGAAATAACATTGAGTACCTACTGAAGTGCCACACACCAATGGAGTAATTCCCACCTTTGAGTTAAATGGTGTTATCCAAGTTTTACTTGTAGGGAAACGAAATGTCAGGAAAATGAAGCAATTCACGTAACTAGTAAATAGCATGGTCAGGATTCTAACGCAGATTTGCTGGTCTTCAAAGCCATTTTTGCCACACTATCTCTAATAAATCCTGTCACATCTTCCTCCTTCCCAGTTTATTTGCTTTTCTCCCAACCCACTGTCTTGATTGTGGGTCATCATCATTCATCCCTTCCCCGCACTCCTGCAGCAGCCTCCTGATTGGTCTTCCTGCCTTTGCTCTTGTTCTTCTCCAGTTTGTTCTCCATAGTCGTTAAGTGTAACCCTGACTATGTAACTTCCTGCTTAAAATACTTGAATGGCTTCTTCCAGACAGAATCCATACAGTTTAATATGGGTTACATGGCCTCAGTTGATGGGCTCTGCCTGCTTCTCTAACATCGTCTCTTACCTCTCTCTTCTTTGATAAATGTGCCCCCATGTTGTTTCCTCTGCCTAGAACACTCTTAACCACCCTTCATCTGCCTACTTCTACCCATCTTTCTGGTTTAGATTAAATGTCACTTCCTCCAGAAGGCTTTCTTTGACTCCCTAACTTGGGAATGCACTCCTACTACATGTTCCCATAGTACCAAATGCTTTCCCTATAATAGCACTGTGTTTTATTACAATGACATATTTAACTGCCTCATTTGTTAGATTCTGCATCTGATCCTTATCTGTATTCCCAGTGTCTGGCACATATGGCTACTCAGTAAATATTAATACATGAATAGTAGAATACTTTAATGGGTTACTTTTTTTCTACTACCTTTGAAATCTTAGTCTCTGCTTTTCCTTAATTGCCATTGAAATACTTTTAATATCACTTATTAGAAAAGCTGTCCACTTCCCATGTGTTTTATTCAGGATCAAATAATTAGTATATGGGGAAGCTGAGACAAGATTGTGGGTCTTCAAACTGTAAATTTCATGTGTTTTCCACTATTTTATGCAGCTCAACTTCCTTATAATTAGATCTAGTCTTCAAAAGCTTATCCTCCTAACTACTTGCTATACCACCACCCAGCACAGGTACTCAATAAACGCTAATCTGTTTTCTACATAATTGAATAAAATCCTTTGTAAGAGTTATGAAGGAAACCTTTTTCTTCAGTATGTGAATTTGAATCTATGGTATATTAGCCAAGAATTGTGATTAGTGTGTCAGCCACGGATAGCCTTATAGAATAGGAATATTAACCTTTTACAGTATTATATTGTGTTTGAGAAAACGTTGTTAAATGCCTTCCTTGTAAGTTTTATAATATGGCCAAACAAGCTATGAAATCTATGAAATCAAGCATGTATATTTTCTAATGTTCTCAGTATTTAGTAGTGAGATTGATTGTACAGTTGGGAAAGATTTGGCAGCGTATAGACTTCCACAAATTATTCTTCCATCATGTATTCTAGTAAATGTCAGGCATATAGATAAGCCATGATTAAAAGATTAGTATGAAATTTAACAAACAGACCACAAATTTTATCTCAAATAAGTGCAATCTCATTCAAAGCAGTTACCTTGGAAAGTGTTCTAGGAATATTTCCATTCATCAGATGATTTCAGAATAGCTTTTGGAATTAAAGTCAGCGTCATCACATGAGCTTTTTACTGCCATCAGCCTCAGTCAGTCTTTGTCCTTTGAGGGTCGTTATTTTGTGGGAACAACATGAAGAACTAAGGCAGCTAGGCAGACTGCACGACTGAGCTTTGTTTAAAGCAAGATACAACTCTGAAGTTATGAGACAGGACTGTGTGACTAGTTTAGTTTTCGTCCCAAAATCTCACTGTTAAGGCTAACAAAAGCTCCCAAGGGCGTTGAAAGCACCAAACACTCATGTCATTTTTTTTTTTTTTTTTTTTTTTTTTTTTTTTGAGACGGAGTATGTCTTTTTTTTTTTTTTTTTTTTTTTTTTTTGAGACGGAGTCTCGCTCTGTCGCCCAGACTGGAGTACAGTGGCGCGATCTCAGCTCACTGCAACCTCCGCCTCCCGGGTTCCCCGCCATTCTCCTGCCTCAGCCTCCCGAGTAGCTGGGACTACAGGCGCTCGCCACCTCGCCCGGCTAGTTTTTTTGTATTTTTTTAGTAGAGACGAGGTTTCACCAGGTTAGCTGGTGATGGTCTCGATCTCCCTGACCTCGTGATCCGGCCCGCCTCGGCCTCCCAAAGTGCTGGGATTACAGGCTTGGTCACCGCGCCTGCCCATTTTTTTTTTTTTTTTTTCAAGCGGAGTCTCACTCTGTTGCCCAGGCTGGTGTGCAGCGGCGCAATCTTGGCTCACTGCAAGCTCCACCTGCTGGGTCTACACCATTCTCCTGCCTCAGCCCCCCGAGTAGCTGGGACTACAGGCTACCACCAACAGGCTGCCAGCTAATTTTTTGTATTTTTAGTAGAGACGAGGTTTCACCATGTTAGCCAGGATGGTCTTGATCTCCTGACCTCGTGATCCGCCTGCCTCGGCCTCCCAAAATATTGGGATTACAGGCATGAACCACCGCGCCTGGCCACATTCATGTCATTTTAATAACTGTAGGGCCAGAAAGGACTAGGAATAGATGAAAGACTGAGAATCACATTTTGATGCTTCCAGATAAGTTTTTGCGGAAAGCCATACTGAAAATATTTGTTTGTTAGATTAAGATTATTAAGTGATAACCCTTTCTTTACTTTAAATAGCTAACTTTTTCTGTAAGGGAGCAACATATATTCTTTCTTGGGCCCATAACCCTGAAAGTCAGGGCTACCTGGGTTGTGGTTATAACTGCCAGGGTCTAGTGTTACTACTAGCTTAGTGATGGTATCCTCAGCAAGTTACAATTTCTCTGACTTTATTTTTTCCCATCCTTACAATGAGAAATTTGGATAGATGAATCTAATTGCATGTCTCTTTCTAGATAGAAAAAACTTAACTTTTTCCCCTTAGACCATGTGTAATTGTAAAATGGAATGCATAAAAATATCGTCTGTTTTATATGTCTCTTATTGAACTGACTTTAAAAATAATTTGATTTTGTTTCTCAAAAATCATATATTCCTTTTGGCATTGGGTCAGAATATAGTGAAGAACAAACATGCCTCAGGTAGTACAGAGCAGTTTGTTGAAGTGAAGACATTTCATCTGACAGTGACTACCAAAGAATTGTCTTCAGTTATTTATTCGCTTCTTACTTTGAACCCAAAGAATGTGAATAGTCCAATAATGAGAAGCTACAAATGACAATAAAAGCAGGATGATGGAAATTACAAGATTAGAAATCAAAACCAGAGAAGCAAGAAGAACATAGATTTGGCTCTTGCGTTTCTGGCTCCAGAGTTTAAAAGGAAATTACATGGTTCAGATTTTCAAAGATGAGAAAAATAGATACCCCAGGAGTGATAAAGATTTTCTTAACACTGAATTCTGAAAGAAATATGTAACATGGGATTGTATATAGGGAGAAGGAAGGTCTTTACAAATAATTTAGCATGTGGTTTTTACCTACTAAAATTAAAACTGATGTTCATCTCTGAGTGGTAAGTAACATGGATTAAAAATGTATTTTCCTGGCCAGGCACGGTGGCTCACGCCTGTAATCCCAGCACTTTGGGAGGCCGAGGTGGGCGCATCACCTGAGGTCAGGAGTTTGAGAACAGCCTGGCCAACATGGTAAAACCCCATCTCTAGTAAAAATATAAAAATCAGCCGGGCGTGGTGGTGGGCACCTGTAATCTCAGCTACTTGGAAGGCTGAGGCAGAAGAATCACTTAAACCCAGGAGGGGAGGTTACAGTGAGCCAAGATTGCGCCACTGCACTCCAGCCTGGGCAACAGAGCAAGACTCCATCTCAAAAAAAAAAAAAAAAAAAAAATTACTATCCTCTTTAGGAAAGCTGGTTAGTAGTTTGGAACTCTTCCCTTGATGAAAAAGTTTAGGTAGCCTTCTATTTTGTTACTGTGGATTCAGGGTTACTAAACTTGGGTTCTAATCAAGTCCTACCCTGTTGTATCTTCTATGTGGCACTAGCCAAAAAAGAAGAACATGTCGGCCTACCAGGTGTTCTGTAAAGAGTATCGCGTGACCATTGTGGCTGACCATCCAGGTATAGGTAAGAACTTTGCTGATCTGTAGCACTTTTGCTTTCCATTTATATCTTGAAGCAGTGCAGTTAATTTCTTCTTCCTGTAGCATTAGAGCATAGATAATCTTGTTTCTTTCCTCAGCTCTGCAAATCACTTTAGATTTTGCCTTAGTTTACCTCATCTGTAAAAGAGATGAACTTTCTATACATATCTCTTAAACTGATAAGGTGGGAAACTACATAAAAATAAATGTTATAAAGCACATACATAAATGCACAAAAATATACAATTGTTTATTTCCAAGATTCTACAATTGGCCTTTTCCTTAAACTGCCCTCGGATATAAAGTTATAATGAGATGTCTTGTATTATATTGTTGTAAAGATGCTCTTCAAGTTACAATAGTGTTACATCCCGATAAACCCATTGAAAGTTGAAAATACTGTAAGTCAAAAATGCATTTAATACACCTAGCCTACAGAACACATTTAAGGTGGGCCTTAAATGTGCTCAGGACACTTAACATTTGCCTACACTTGAGCAAAGTCATTTAACACAAAGCCTGTTTTATAATAAAGTGTTGAGTATCTTGTGTAATGTATTGAATACTGTACTGAAAGTGAAAAACAGAATGGTTGTGTGGGTACTAGAAGTACAGTTTTTACTGAGTACATATGGAAAAATCAAAAGTCAAACCATCATAAGTCAGGGACCGTCTGTATTTGTCTCTGTATTAGAAGTTAATGAGGTGAGACACATGTCACTTAACCGCTTCAGATTTCATTTGGCTAATGTGTAAAATCGCTGCCCTACCAACTCCAAAAGACTGCAGTGAGGCACACATGAATATGCTTTATAAAGCATAAAACTGTTATACAGTGGAAGGGTAAGATTACACATCTAGAGGATTGCTTCTGAGCTGCTCTAGGGAAATCCTTCTTTGGTTCTAATTGTTCAGAAATTTGGTAAAAACCTAACATCTTTTTTCAAATTCTACACATATTTTTTAACCTAAGTTGATAGGCCTTGTATTGTGGGATCAAATTAAAGACACCAGAGGGAGGATGCAGTGGCTCATGCCTATAATCTCAGCACTTCGGGAGGCTGAAGTCGGAGAATTGCTGGAGCCCAGGAGTTTGAGACCAACTTGGGCAACATAATGAGACCTCATCTCTACAAATAATAATTTTTAAAAATAGCCGGTCACAGTGGCTCATGCCTGTAATCCCAACACTTTGGGAGGCCGAGGTGGGTGGATTACATGAGGTCAGGAGTTCAAGACCAGCCTGGCCAACATGGTGAAACCCTGTCTCTACTAAAAATACAAAAATTAGCCGAGCATTTTGGTGCACACCTGTAATCCCAGCTACTCCGGAGGGTGAGGCAGAAGAATCACTTGAACCCAGGAGGCGGAAGTTGCAGTGAGTCAAGATCACTCCACTTCACTCCAGCCTGGGCGACAGAGCGAGACTCCATCTCAAAAAATAAATAAATAAATAAATTTTAAAAATTAGCTAGGTGTAGTAGCCCGTGCCTGTGGTCCCAGCTACTTGGGGGGTAGAGGTGAGAGGGTGGTTTGAGCCCAGGTGGTTAAGGCTGCTGTGAGCTATTATCACACCACTGCACTCCAACCTGAGCAACAGAGCCAGACTCAGTCTCAAAAAAAGACACTAGAAAGATGCTTAAGGAATAAATCCCTAGGGAGTAGATGGGTTAGGAGTTGAGACTGTCTTGTGACCATCAAAACATCCCCTTCCCTATAGAAAAAAATTAAAAGCAATGGGATTGGGGTTGGTTTTCTCAAAGAATCTTGGAATATTTAAATCTGACCTTCAAAACCCTTTTCACAGTTTTTGCTCTCACCAATCTTCTGTTTTGTTAATAGCTAACCCTTTACTGTATTGAGTGTTTTACTTTTTTATGCCAGATTTTGGGGAACTTAGTAAAAAACTGGCTGAGGTGTGGAAGCAATTGCCGGAAAAAGACAAACTGGTAAGTATACTTTCTTACAAACGTATTTTTCAGTGCTTCTTGCCTTCCAAAATACCTAATTCTTCCATAGACCAGCCAGCCAGACAGCACTGAAAATAGTGAAGAAAATTACAAATCAATAGAAAATGGTTTAGCAGAGGAGATTAACACTGTTAGTGCCAGTTCACTGTACATGGGGATTTAGCTATAGCAAGGCTGTCTTTTCTAACCTAGTCTAGTTTTTTCCAACAGTGTTACATTTGAGCCAAAAGATGATCTAAGTTGAGGCATAACTAAAGTGTTAAATTATAAAATCAGAGCCCTTTACTGAAAACACCTAGTAATCAGTCATGGTCTGAGAACTGAGGAAAGTTATCCACTTAGCAGTCACTGCAGACAATAAAAACATGAGAATGTGCTTACTAGGTAACCAGGTTCAAGGTCATTATCCTCATCAACCATTACCAAATAATGTACCCTACTGTCAAGAAGCTAGTAAGACACTGATAAACAGTCATATCTGGACTGGGCATGGTGGCTCACACCTGTAATTCCAGCACTTTGGGAGCCTGAGGCAGGTGGATCACCTGAGGTCAGGAGTTTGAGACTAGCCTGGCCAACATGGCGAAACCCTGTTTCTACTAAAAATACAAAAAATTAGCCCGGCTTGGTGGTGCATGCCTGTAATCCCAGCTACTCGCGAGGCTGAGGCAGGAGAATCGCTTGAACCACGGAGGCAGAGGTTGCAGTGAGCCAAGATCTCGCCATTGTACTCCAGCTTGGGCAACAAGAGCAAAACTCCATCTCAAAAAAAAACAAAAAAACAGTCATATCTGAATCATTGAGACTTATGATATGAAGGTCATATAGGAGCAATATGTCATCTAGATGAACAACTATTTTTCACCCAGATAGATTATCCTTAGTTTTTGTTTTCCATGTTATTGTCATCCTGCTGTTGTGTTGGTATTGCCAACCAGCAGATTAGAAGAACCACAGAGACATTATATTGAACCAGATGTTTAATCTGTGATTTTACATTTCAACTTACAGTGATCTAAAAATCAGTGCCAAGATTTGACCATTAGCATTGAGGAATGTTTATAGTCCTCTACTAAGATATTAATGTAGGCCGGGCACGGTGGCTCAAGCCTGTAATCCCAGCACTTTGGGAGGCCGAGACGGGTGGATCACGAGGTCAGGAGATCAAGACCATCCTGGCTAACATGGTGAAACCCCGTCTCTACTAAAAAATACAAAAAAAAAAAACTAGCCGGGCGAGGTGGCGGGCGCCTGTAGTCCCAGCTACTCGGGAGGCTGAGGCAGAAGAATGGCGTAAACCCGGGAGGCGGAGCTTGCAGTGAGCTGAGATCGGCCACTGCACTCCAGCCTGGGCGACAGAGCGAGACTCCGTCTCAAAAAAAAAAAAAAAAGATATTAATGTAGTCAGCTGTCTGAAGTCAGTTCAGTGACCCCCAGCTTAAAAGTTAGCATTAACCCTCTGTTTGCCTGCCTCCTACTATTGCCTTTCTTTTCTCCATTTTGTTCTTTCATAACTGCTTTTCCTTTTACTTTTTTGTCCTTTTAAATTTATTTTAATTTAATGTTCACTGATGTGATTGCAGATTTGGAAGCAAAAAGCTCAGTATCTGCAGCACAAACAGAACAAAGCAGAAGCCACAACTGTGAAAAGGAAAGCATCCAGCTCAGAAGGTTCCATGAAAGTCAAAGGTAGTGACCACATCCCCATCCTGCTTTTCTCTAAAGCATGTGAATTTTGCTTCCTTGCTAAGAAACTGGGAAAAAAGCTTGCAATATTAGAAGTGGACCTTGATTCCCAGGTATTATTACTGAATGTTACAGGCTACCAAAAAGAGATGTTCAAATTTAGAAAATGTAAATCAGAAGTCAGCAAACTTTTGCTTTAAAGGTCCAGAGAGTAGACCAGGCGCAGTGGCTCCTGCCTGTAATCCCAGCACTTTGGGAGGCCAAGGTGGGTGGATCACCTGAGGTTGGGAGTTCGAGACCAGCCTAACCAACATGGAGAAACCCTATTTCTACTGAAAATACAAAATTAGCCAGGCATGGTGGCGCATACCTGTAATCCCAGCTACCAGGGAGGCCAAAGCAGGAGAATTGCTTGAACCCGGGAGGTGGAGGTTGTGGTGAGCTGAGATCGTGCCATTGCACTCCAGCCTGGGCAACAAGAGCAAAACTTCATCTCAAAAAAAAAAAAAAAAATAGGTCCAGAGAGTAAATATTATAGGCCTTGTGTGCTGTATGCATTCTCACATTCTCTGTCACATATTCTTTGTTTTTCTATAACCCTTTAAGAATGTAAAACTATTCTTAGCTCACAGGCCATAAAAAAAAAAAAAGGAGACCATGGACTGAATTTAGCCCACAGGCCGCAATTTTGCTAATGCCTGGTATAGTTCATAAAAAGGGAAAATCAGGAAGAACAATTTTGTGTTGTTCAAGGCTGTAGGCAAGTTTTACCTGTCTGCCTCATTGCTCTGTTCTCAGCCTCTTCTGTAGGAGTACTGTCACCCCAGAAGAAATCCCCACCCACCACCATGCTCTTACCAGCCTCACCAGCCAAAGCCCCTGAGACAGAGCCCATTGATGTTGCTGCTCATCTTCAGCTGTTGGGAGAGTCCCTAAGCCTCATTGGACACCGTCTGCAGGAAACTGAGGTGAATACAACTATCAGCAGCGTGACTACAGTTTCCCATATAATTTGGATTCATTCACTCATTTTACATACGTATATTGAGCATCTACTTTATGCTAAATTATGCCAGGTACTCAGGTATATCAGAAGATATAATGATAACAGAAATATCTATAGAGATATTCAGTCTACCTATTAGCTCTCAAAGTTTCACTAATGATATCCTATTGAAACAATGGCACAAAAAGAAATTGGAATACCCTGTAACTTACTTTTATTTTTTTAAAATGCAGTGGAGACTGGGCGCAGTGGCTCACACCTGTAATCCTAATTTGGGAGGCCTAGCTGGGAGAATCGCTTAAGGCCAGGAGTTCAAGACCAGCCTGGCAAGCATAGTGAGACTCCATCTCAAAAAATACATACATTCAAAAAATTTAAAAGAAATAAAAATGGGGCTGGGCATGGTGGCTCATGCCTGTAATCCCAGCACTTTGGGAGGCCGAGGCTGGCGGATCACAAGGTCAGGAGTTCGAGACCAGCCTGGCCAATATAGTGAAACCCTGTCTCTACTAAAAATACAAAAATTAGCCAGGCGTGGTGATGTGCACCTGTGGTCCCAGCTACTCAGGAGGCTGAGGCAGGAGAATCGCTTGAACCTGGGAGGTGGAGGTTGCAGTGAGTCGAGATCGCACTACTGTATTCCAGCCTGGGTGACAGAGTGAGACTCCATCACAAAGAAAAAAAAAGAAGAAATGCAGTGGCGGCTGGGCACGGTGGACCATGTATGTAATCCTAGCAATTTGGGAGACTGAGGCAGGAGGATTGCTTGAGGCCAGGAGTTGGAGAGCAGCCTGGGCAACATAGCGAGACCCCATTTCTACAAAAAATTTAAAAATTAGCCAGGTATAGTGGTGCACACCTGTAGACCCAGCTACTCGGAAGGCTAAGGCAGATGGATTGCTTCAGCCCAGGAGCTCAAAGGCTGTAAGCTATTATTGCTGCACTGCATTCCAGCTTGAGTGACAGAGCAAGACCCTATCTCTTTTAAAAAAACAAAAACAAAAAGGCAAGAAAAACGATAAGTACAAATTCCATAGCAGTTTTGATTACTTCTATCTACTTCTAAGAGACTTTGCATTTTTCTGTGCATTTCCAGCAAAGTCTTGAATAGATTCAATTGTATAGGAGATTAAGAGTTCTTCTATTTTGAAAATAGGTAGCAAATGGAGAAGTTAAGTACCCAGCTCTCCAGTACTCTGCGCTTAAATTATACAGTGCTATGTGCCCTAGGGAGATTTTTGTCCTTTTAAGCTTCGATTTCAAAATCACTTAACCTGCACAGCTGTTGTGTTTTGTTTCTATCATCATATTCAATTTCTAACTATACTGTCCCCTTAGCTAACTCAATAGTATAGTAGTTCCGCTTTCTACCAAGTTATAGTAAGACATTTCAGCAAAGAAGCCAGTCTAAGCTACTAAAGCCATTTTTAAGCTAAGAAATTAGTGTAGGAATGTAAAACTAATCACTTGCTTCAGTGTGGAAACTGAATTATTCAACAAATAAAATGCCAAAGGCCACAAGAGCTGAAGCTGTATCTAAATTCTTTGGCTAGTTTCTAAAAAATTTAGCAGGAGTCAAAAGAACTTCAGCACTTTCATATAGTCTCGATATCTGAATGGATATAGGTATTTCCAGAAGAAATATTCTGTGACCTTATTTTTCATATTTAATCATTCTTAATTTCATAAGAAGTAAAAACGGTTTGTTTTAAGCATATTCTGAATTTTCCCAGATATTTCCATTTAGTTTAGTAAGCACAAAGGTCACCCCTTTAAAGTGCAGAATTTAGTGATTTTTAGTATATTCACAGAATTGTGAATCACTACTATTTCATTCCAAAACATATTACTACCCCTAAAAGAAACCCTGTACCCATTAGCAATTTTTCCCCATTCTCCCTCTAATCCACTTTTGGCCTGAATTTAATCATTTGCATAGATCCCTGTAATTTTACAATTTCCACATACCACTTACACTATTATTTACTTTACAGTTTTATTTAAATAAACTTATCTATGCTTTTATATGACATTCATGACATCTCAAGGGTTATATTCTATTTTTTTAATGTACATCATAATGGACATATAATTATCAAAATAATATGTTCAACAGTAAATTAATGTTCATCATTTTAGCAGTAAAACTAGAACATACAATGCATAAGTTAGATAATTAAGGCTAGAGGCTGAGCACTCTGGCTCATGCCTGTAATCCCAGCACTTTAGGAGCCAAAATGAGAGGATCACTTGAGGCCAACAGTTTTGAGACCCGCCTGGCCAACATGGCAGAACCCTGTCTCTACTAAAAATACAAAAATTCGCCAGTCGTGATGGTGCACACCTGTAATCCTAGCTACTTGTGAGGCTGAGGCAGGAGAATTGCTTCAGCCGGGAGGTGGAGGTTGCAGTGAGCCGAGATCACACCGCTGCACTCCATCCACCATCCAGCCTGGGCAACAGAGTGAGACCCTGTCTCAAAAAAAATTAAAATTAAAAAATACACATGTATATATCTCGTAAGAAAGTTAAGGCTAGAACCCAAATTGCAGAGGGACTTCATAGACATTCTGAAGTGTGTATACTTTACTGTTGGGGAACTACAGGGGTTTTTAGAGTGGAAAGGGATGAGATCAGGGCTCTCATTTACTTTTCTCTGAGAATATCTTTTATTTTAGATTGGAAGTGAAAAGAGACCAGAATTGGGGAGAAGTTATAACAATAATCCAAGTCTAGATGTGACAAAGATAAATTAGCTATAAATAACTATAGGGCAAAGGTAATGGAATAATATTGCTAATTACTTACATTTTTGGGGTTTTAGATATTATCTTCCCTATATATTAACATTTTATTGAATGCTTACCCAACTTTGGTTCAGAGTGCTTAATATGAATTACATCATTTAATTCACACTGCAGCTTTGTAAGACAGAATTTTTGTTCCCCCTATTTTACAGAAGAATAAAAAGACTTGAAGAGGTGAAGTCACTTTCTCTAGAGTTCAGCCCCTAAGTGGTAAAGCAGAGACTTGAATTTGGAATGTGACCTCAAGGTCCAGATTCTTAACCTCTTAGTGTACTGCTGCCCTCAGAACGTGTAGAGGGGAGATGTTGACAAGGAGGATGAGGGAAAGGAAGAGTCATTGATGGCTAGGCCTTGAAACTGGGCAGTTATGTGAATGGTGGTGACTCTGGCAGAGAAATGGTTGCTAAAAGGAGGGCTAGATTTGGATGGGAAGGTTATTCTTCTTTACAGCATGTTGAGATGGAGAAATATCCAAAAGGAGAGACCCAAAAGACAGCCAGAAATGCAATTTTGAAGATCAAGATGTTAATAATAGTCATAATTACTGATATTTTTTGAGTACTTAACCATGTATTAAGCACCATCCCAAGTATATTATATCTATTATCTCAATCCCATCTGCTGCAGATGCTGTTAGTATTTTACAGGCGCAGCATAGTAAGCAACTTGCCCAGGTACAAAACAGTGAGTAGTGGAGCCAGGATCTGGACCCGGGCAGTCTTGAATCCAGAGCTCATTTTCTTAAGCACTCTGCTGTGCTGCTTCCCAACATGACGTATCCTCACAGTGCTTCTAGTTAAAGCAGATTATACAAGAACTGGGCAGTAGCAACAGTCTTTCTTATCTCTTTGAATCACAAATATATAGACAATATGAATTACATAAAATGTTAAAATTTGAACCAAATTCACCTCTCTTTGAGAGTGAACAACTCAACCTAGAAAAATTATATCATCAGCTATCAAAAGCTACATACATGTAGGGTTGTAGGATTCTCATAGTAATCACATCTGAGCTATATTTGTGGAGTTTATAACAGATACACTTTGCAAAGGGTTGTAGGATTCTCATAGTAATCACATCTGAGCTATATTTGTGGAGTTTATAACAGATACACTTTGCATACATAATCACAAATCTTACCAACAGCTCTCCAGAGTAAGTAAAGCATTTTTTACTATTCCTGTTAAAGAGACAGAAGTTAAGTATTTGACCTCCCCAAGGTCACATAGAAGGTAAGATGGGCTAGGATTATAGAAAGGAAACCTGGGAATGTGTTGTAAAAGTTTTCTTTCTAAACAACTTACAGAGTTATCAGAGTAAACTTTCCATTTCTGCTATAAAGTTTCGAATTGTAAGATTAGAACTGCCTAGGATTTAAAGTACTGTGTGAGGAAGTCAGCCCGAACACAGAGAGAGCATCAGGAGTGTGACTCAAGCAACAACCTCCTCTCCTTTTCAGGGTATGGTGGCTGTGTCTGGCAGTTTGTCAGTGCTTCTGGATTCCATTATCTGTGCCCTTGGCCCCTTGGCATGTCTCACCACACAACTACCTGAATTGAATGGCTGTCCCAAACAGGTCTTGGTGAGTTTTCCCTGGATTTTTAGGGTCAGACCCATTGGGCATCAGAGATGCCCTGCCTTAATGAACACTGTCAGACACAGGCTCATAAGGCTTTGTGACACATAGTGCTTCCTTTATCTGTTAGCTCATGGAACATGATGCTATATTATCAAATGCATGCTGTGCTTTCACTGAAACTAGAAAACAAGCCATTTACCAAAATAGAAGAAAGAAGCATTCTAGCCCTTGAGGTACTGCAATTCCTGTGTTTCCTGTTTGCTATTCTACACCCAAAGACGGTACAGGAATTGTCTCCCTCTTTTTTACTAGGATTAATGGGAGAAGTTAGCAGAAAAGTTCCTAGCATAACAAACAACAGGATGCCGTCTTCATTCTCACCTGTTTTTCTAACTCCATTTGATTTTTTTTATCTCTCTCCTTGAACAAAGAAACATGTCAGGAAACCAAGGTAAAGTACTCTTCAGTTGAACATTTTTCTTTGTTTTGCAGTCAAACACACTAGACAACATTGCTTACATCATGCCTGGACTGTGACAGCAAAGAATCCTGGGACAGAAACCTTATCCTACACCATTGCTGGTTTGTGTATATATGACTGTTCCAGATTCCTTCACTGGCCTCTGGGTGTAGGTTTTAAATTTTTATATCTATACATACATATATACATATATATATAATGTACAATATATACATAGGACTGTAACTACTTTGCTTTTAATAATTTTATGAAATGGCAAAGGTTTAGCCAAGAGGAAAGTTTGGCATGAATACAGGCTTGGGATTCTTTTTTCTCCTGTGGTGGATAAATCTGCCTTAAAAATTAATGTAACTTGGGGGTTGGGGGCTTGTTCTGGGTGCCAAGCGCATCTCTTTATGGACAGCTAAAATGTGATTATTTTCCAAACTCAGTTGGACCTCCAGACCCATCACTGACCATTTGCCTTACCTGTCTTAGTCTGAAATATGTAATAGGAAAGATAACGGGAAAATGCCAGTTGACTGAAAATTCAAAGCCTTTCAATTTGAAGTGACCTAGGTGGGAGGTGATAAAATTTGTTCCCATTATAGTTATGAAGGTGGCTTAGGTGAATTGAGTAGGGGGTTCATTCCAATTCCTACTGTATAGGTGTCCATGTCTCAAAATTTATTGTAATCATTGGTACCATTGGCGGCCTCAACAGAGGCCAAGGAGTTCTGTGAGCCCTGGCAGCAAAAAACACCTTGGAGGGTGAAGCTGTCAGTGCCATCAGTTGACCTCCATACATTCTGAGCTAACCCAGAATATTTAGTATGCAGAACTAAGAGCTAGTGTCTTTCACTGGCGGCATGAAGTTAACCACCAAGTCCTCACAAGCCGTGCTGCTTAGTTACTTGGTGGTTATGGATAAACTTTGCCCAGCATGATTTTTGGATTCATCTTATCGGTTCCCCTGGCGGGCAGATACACAGTGTTCTGCATTCCACATGTAAGTGAATTGCAAAAACAGAACAAAACTCACTCTCTTGTAGGTTTATTTATGTGTGTGTGAATGTGTATTTTAATTATGTGTATTTAACTCTTTAAAATCTCTTAGATTTTAATTTATCCTGTAAATTTCTGTATATATAATTTAATAACAAAAGCCTCCACCAGCAACAGCATGTGGAAGATGCAGATTTGTCATTTCTCCTTCCTTCCCTCCCTTCCTTCCTTCTTTCATTCTTTCCTTCCTTCCTTCCCTCTTTCCTTCCTTCCTCCTAATCTGTTCCAAAAACTCTGAATCATCTACATTTTAAGGTATTTTACCTCAAAAATGAATCATTGTGTTAGGATTCTAATTCTTTACAAAGAACTTCATGGGCTTCAATAATGTCTAGAAAGTAAAATAAAGAGGAATGTTACCATCCCCAGCTGCCCTTATTTCCAGAGAACCAGACTTTTGCTTCCCAGTTGGAAAGAAGACAGTTGAGCACCTCAGGATGGTTTTTAAATCTGGTGTGAGATTCTCTGCCAACACCAAGCTCTGAGCTAACTGTGCTTTCTTCTCCTGGCCTAGACAGCACTGCAGCATCAAAGTAGATCTTCGGGGACAGTGTAGCCCGTCTGCATCCTATTTAATTTCTTCCCTTCTCCCCACCAGTGTTGTCACAGGGCTATGTTGCTTAAAGGTATTCTGGCTGCTGAATCCCTTTCTCAGCTCAGAGCAGTTTTGAGATTTAATTGGGAATACAGAGAAAGAAACAGGATTGTTTGGGAACCAAAATCAAGAGGAACAGAAATCTTAACTTGATTTCATGTATTAGAACATTGGGCCGGGCGCGGTGGCTCAAGCCTGTAATCCCAGCACTTTGGGAGGCCGAGACGGGTGGATCACGAGGTCAGGAGATCGAGACCATCCTGGCTAACACGGTGAAACCTCGTCTCTACTAAAAAAATAAAAAAAAAAAAAAACTAGCCGGGCGAGGTGGTGGGCGCCTGTAGTCCCAGCTACTCAGGAGGCTGAGGCAGGAGAATGGCGTGAACCCGGGAGGCGGAGCTTGCAGTGAGCTGAGATCCAGCCACTGCACTCCAGCCTGGACGACACAGCGAGACTCCGTCTCAAAAAAAAAAAAAAAAAAACATTGTACCATGCCTCTTCTCCATCTGGAAGTTTCCTGTTTGACACAGGGTATCTAGGAGGGGCGGAGAAGACATGGATAGTACAGGAAGACATTAATCCTAGCATTGTCATTTATATACATTAATGAAATCCTGATGAGGACCTGCTTTTTGTTTGTTTTCCTTTGAAACCCAGCCCTATTGTATTTGTATTTAAAATTTGTACACATTTGTATAATAATCTGTACCTTGTGGTATTTGGTACTATTAGAGGAAAAACTTTGGATTCAGACCTTCTTGCAGCTTTTATATCATTGTTTTATTTTGTTTTTTAAATAAATTCTAGTGGTTTGATCCAAATCCCATTACAGTTGTATAAAGAAATAAAATTTTGTACTTATATTATTAAAAATCACATTTTTAATATTTGTAGTCCAGTCTCAGCTGTCTTTTCCCTAATCATGATAATCATAGTTGCTATGAAATTATGAAACCTGTTTTTCACTCTATTCTACCATTATTTTCTTAAGAAAAATATCAACCCACAATGGAGATTAAATTTCTAATCTTAGCCATTTTCCTAATATACTCCTTACTCTGTTTCTATTAATTTTAACATTGTAGAGGCTCTCATTTTCTCTTTTGCAAACTGCAAATGTAGTGAATCTGATAACGGCACCTCCATTTATTGGCAAACAAAACTATGTGCATTATGGTATTGGCCTAAATCAAGAAAATGTTCGTTCATCTTATATAAGGGTTGCATCTGAATCATGTGCTAAATGATATGTTTCAGTACTGTCCTGGCTTAGTCAGTAATGCTGTTGATAAGTTACTTAATCTTGATAGGCTTTCAAAGTCCCATCTATAGAACAGTGTTAAAGTCACTTCCCTGTCTCTAGACCTGCAGCCAGCCAGCCTGACATGAATGTTTTAATAATATGAACATTGGATATATGGAGATAAGACCTTTCAAGGTAAAAATTTCAGTGCAAACACAAGGTGTTAAAAGTCATAAATAGTGAAATAATATGATTAATTAAAAGGCTAATGTCTTATGGAAAGGCAGCAGGAAGAGACCACCGTATCACTCACTGACTGTTAGAGAGAGTGATTTGCATACCTGGTCTCACTCATCCCCCCACAAAGCCTTATGAATATTATCTCCCTTTATAGATGCGAAAATGTACTTTTCCCAGGTTTATACTGCTAGTAAATGGCAAAGGCAGAATAAGAACAGTGGAACAGGTGACCTCAAACCCTAGGCTCTTTTCTGCCCCAAGCTACTTTCACATTTAAATCGTGCATATAATTCATCAGAATGCTTTCCATTATCTCAATGTGATTGTAGGAATGCCATCTGAGATCTTTGCATTGTTCAGCTATCTAGCTGACTTTCACTCTTGTCATACTATTGTCTTTAAATTTTGAAGGCAAAGTATCTTGATTTTTGTCTGTAAGCGCTTAAAGGATTTAATAGATTATGCAGACTGTCAGTCTTAAGAAATTTGAACGTTTTAACCCTCAGTAAGGCATGATATTAATATTACTAAAACTCTTGAAAAAGTAAATTGAAACACTTTTTACTAAATGAGTTTGCCCCTTATTAGCACACTTCTTTTTTAAGACAGTTTTAATCAGTTTTGTACTAACTTAATGTTAGCCATTTACATCCCTATCTACTGTGTTGATAAAATCCATATACTGGCCAAAGGCAGAGGCTCATGTCTGTAATCCCAGCACTTTGGGAGACTAAGTCAGGAGGATCGTTTGTGGTCAGGAGTTCGAGACCAGCCTGGGGAATATAGCAAAACCCCACCTCTACAAAAACTAAAAGATATTAGCTAGACATGGTGGCATGCATCTGTAGTCCCACCTACTCGAGAGGCTGAAGTGGGAGAACACTTGAGCCCAGGAGATCAGGGCTACAATGAGCTACAATTGCACTGCTGTACTCCAGCCTGGGTAACAGAGAGTATGTCTTTAAAAATAAATAAATAAATAAATAAATAAATAAATAAATAAATAAATAAATCCATATAGTTCCATTTCTGTTTGAATAGCTATATAGTAATCATTTTGCATGGAGTTGTTTTTGGTTTTGGTTTTTGTTTTTTTGAGACGGAGTCTCGCTCTGTGGCCCAGGCTGGAGTGCAGTGGCATGATCTCAGCTCACTGCAAGCTCCGCCTCCGTGGTTCACGCCATTCTCCTGCCTCTGCCTCCCGAGTAACTGGGACTACAGGCGCCCGCCACCACGCCTGGCTAATTTTTTCTATTTTTTAGTAGAGACGGGGTTTCACCGTGTCAGCCAGGATAGTCTCAATCTCCTGACCTCGTGATCTGCCCGCCTCGGCCTCCCAGAGTACTGGGATTACAGGAGTGAGCCATCGCGCCTTGCTTAATTTAGGTTTTCTATCATCCAAAATTTGTGCAGTCAATTTACTAGTCTTTCAGATTTAAAAACCACAAACATTACAATAAATACTAAAGCACCCACAGTAGCCAGACTACTAAGGCCATGGTTATTGTATTTTTGGAGTACATGTCAGAAGAAAAGGTCATAACCCACAGATAGGTATCTAGTGTGTGGGGTCAGCAGACACACCACACACAGCCAGGAAGGCTGAAGAGATTAGAGTCTCAACGCTGGGAAAGGCCTTTGAGATTCTTAGCTTGGGGTCCACGGTTGTACTTCAGGGACCCCAGAAACTCCCTGAGGTTATAAGCAAAATTCTATCGCTGCCTTTTTTCTTCAGAAAGGCTCATGGCTTTTGTCAAATTCTCCAAGGAGACTGTGACCTAAATAAAATATTTTTTAAAAATGCTTACGAGTCCTTGATCTAATTCCAGTATCTAGAGAAAATGGGAGCTATGTTTGGCTCACACAGTAAATTTATGGCAGAGATGGGTATCAAAGCCCCACTCGTGACTACATCTGTGCTTTCTGCCATCCTGGGCGCTAGAGGGAATTGCGCTGCAATTCATTCAATTATTTCTCAGTCTCAGTAGATGACAAACCCCTTGCCCTTACCTCTGATTTAAGGTAAGATAATTTGGGCTGCAAGCAGGGTGCATCTTGGAGCGGGGAGACCTTGACATCAAACAGGAAGAGTCCTATCTGGGCAAGGAGACAGCAGTCCAGAGAGGCTGTCACCCAGGGTAGGTGTGCAGTCACAGGTCCCAGGGACTAAGGGCTGTGACACTAAGAGTCTCGGCTTCTGTGTAATCTCACCCAAGTCACTTCCCTGGTCTACGACCCAGTTACCCAAATGTGTAAAGGGTCCTTTAGACCTCGCCCTAAAAGGTCAGGGGCGTGGCTTAAAGAGGACCGCGCTTCCCGGGCCCCGCCCCCAGGCTCTACGTCGTGCGTGACGCCCGCCGCCGCCTAGGAAGCGACGATGAGGTCATCGCCCTCCGCCTCGGGGGCGGGACCCTTGCGCGTCAGGGCGGGGCCTGTGGTCCAGCTCCGCTCTGCCACCGCTCCGCCCACGCCTCCTCCCCGGCCTTCGGGTGCGTCACGTGACGGGTTGGCGGCGCTGGCGGTTGCTGTCAGCTGATTCCCGGGGTTGGTGGCAGCGGCGGTAGCAGCAATGGACTTTCTCTTGGGGAACCCGTTCAGCTCTCCAGTGGGACAGCGCATCGGTGAGTCCCTGGAGCCCCCCACAGCTCCGTCCCGGTGCTCCGCACCCAGCTTCGGTCCCCTGGGAAGCCTCCGGGTGCCTAGTCACTGAGGCAGGGAGGGCAATGAGGCTGGCGTGTAGCTCTCCGACTTGGCCCCGCCCAGCTTTCCTCCCACTCTTGATTGACAAGAACTTGGGCCATTAGGAAGCCTTGGCTTGTGATAGATGTATACGACAGCCAGTAGATAAGGAGAGAGGGCGGGTCCGGATGCCCACTGCGCAGCCAATGTGTGTCTGCTGGGGTCCCGAATCGAGGGAGAAAGTTTTCGGGGTTAAAGGGACTGCGTGGTTGGCAGTGGCTGGGCGGGTGTGCTGGGTCCCGCCGCCTGGGCTTTGGCCAGCTCCTTTCTGGCTCACCGGGCTCTCCGGACATGGACACCTGAGAAGGGCTAGAAGTCCATTCTCCCAGGACCGCGAAGCCCGGGGCTTGGCGTCTTGGGGGCGACTGGCCAGAGGGGACCCAGCGCCAGACAGCCCGCGGC